CGGTTCAGCCCAAAAAACTAAAAAAAATCCCCAAACTCCCCAAACTGTGCTGCATATTTGGAAACTGAGCCGGCAGGAAAGGCTGCCTCCATTTCCCAAAGGCAGGAGAGGGGGGCACCAGTCAGAGCGCCGCTATCGAACCCCAGTCCCTCCGCTCGGGTGCAGAGCCCAGGATGGAAGTTCTCCCTCCTCCAGCCCGCCTGCTTCCCGCACCGCCCTTCTCGGCCCATTGGGGCCCCCACCTCCCTCAGTGCAGGCGCGGCCCCGGGAAGAGGTGAAGGTCCAGTGGCGCGCCCACCGTGCCCGGCCCCCCGACGCAGCGCTGCCAGGCCGGAGCCTTCTGAGGGAGGTCGGCCCCAGGCGTCTGGGGTGGGCGGGTCAGCTCGGGGGCTGGGGCTCCGCGGGGAGCGGCCCCGCCCCGGACGCCGCCGGGAGGCGAGCGACCAGCGCCCAGCGCCGAGGGAGGGGCGGCGGGAACCCCGGGCGGGCGCCCGGGTTGACGAGTACCTGGCGGCCGCCTGAGGACAGGGAGCTCGCAGAGCAGTGCGGGAACTCTTCCAGCAATGGCGTCGGCGGCCGGGCGGCCGCGGACGGCAGTGCGCCTGCGCAGCCGGCGGAGACCACGGCGCCCAGAATCCTCCGCGCCGCCACTCTGCTCTTTCGTCCTCTCTGTGCGTGGGTCTTTGAATTGGCATCATTGACAGTTCGTGGACCTAAAAAGTTCTGTCAGGTTGAGAGGCCACGACTCTGTCAAGCAGTAGCACTAGCGACACAGAGAAGAATGACACACAGCCCTTGCCTCGCAACACTTCCGTGTGACTAACGAAATAAAGCCATTGAGAGAACAGACAATCTCCTGCAACTAATTAAAGCCCCAGACGCTGAGGTCGGGGGGAGTTGCGTGTCCAGGCTTCTGCCTCTCATTCAACTTCTTGACAGAAAAATCGTAATGCCTTCATTGTAATTTCTGGGTCTTTGAGCTTCTTTCCTTGGCTCATACTAATAAAAAAAATAATAAATTAAATGTTAGCATTATTATTATTTTTAATGCACGTTTTCCTTTGCCTCAATTCCATGGTTTTAATGACTAAAGGCCATCTCCACATTGGGTCACACAGAATCCTCAAGGCTTCTAGAGCAGCTTCCCTTAGTGGTGAGACAATTTCCTCTCTAATCCTTCCTTCCTTCCCTCCCTCCCTCCCTCCCTCCCTCCCTCCTTCCTTCCTTCCTTCCTTCCTCCCTTCCTTCCTTCCTCTTGCCGCACCGCTTGCGGGATCTTCGATCCCCGACCAGGGATCGAAACCCAGGCTCACGGCAGTAAAAGCACCGAGTACCTAACTGGACAGCCAGGGAATTTCCTCTAATCCTTTCTTATTCTGTGTGCCTTGGATTCTCTGCTGCTTTGATTGTGTGTGAGCCCCTCCAGATGGAGATCTGCAGGGAGATAAAAAGCTCAGTGAAACTGAACACAGTGCAACACTGGGCTCTTGACATTTCAGAGCCAATGGATACCTTTGGAGAAAGTATGACCTAACCTTGTGACCCTTGAACTATCAGGAGATATGCAAGCTGGAAATCCAACTCCTGGAGGTCACAAATACGGTATATGAAATGAAAAATATACGGGATAGGACTAAGAGCAGATTAGACACTGCAAGGGAAAAGATTAGTGAATGCAAAGACATAGAAATAGAAACTGCCGAAAATGAAACACAGGGAGAAAAAAGATGGAGAATGAACCAAGCAGCAGTGAGCTATGGAACAAGACGGTGTAGTCTAGTAGTCTAAGTGTAATTAGAATCCCAGAAGGAGAAGAGAGGGTGAGGGAGTAGAAAAATATTTGAAGAAATAATGGCTAAATATTTTCAAAATTTGATGAAAATTACAAACCCATAGATCCAAGAAGCTCAGTGAAATTCAAAGAAAAGACATGAAGAAAACCACACAAAGGCACATCATATCCAAATTGCTACATACCAGTAATAAAGGAAAACCTTAAAAAACAGCTGGAGGATATATCACTTATTTGGGGAATCTAAACTATGACATAAATGAACATATTTATGAAACAGAAACAGACTCACAGACATAGAAAACAAACTTCTGGTTACCAAAGAGGAAAGGGGGTGGGGGACAGATAAATTAGGAGTTTGGGATTAGCAGATAAAAACTACTGTATATAAAATAAATAAACAACAAGGACCTACCATATAGAACAGGGAACTATATACAATATCCTGTAATAAACCATAGTGGAAAAGAATATGAAAAAGACTGTGTATATATATGTATAACTGAATCACTTGGCTGTACACCAGAAACTACAACAACATTGTAAATCAACTATACTTCAAAAAAAAAAAAAGATTTAAAAAACAGCTGGAGAAACAAAGATCTGTACGTGCTAGAGAACAAAGATAAGTACTTCTCATCAGGAAACAAAAGCAAAAACACACACAAAAAGCAAGCCAGAAGACAGTGAAACAACACCTTTAAAGTACTGGGGAAAAAAACTGTCAGCCCAGAAATTTATACCCATCAAAATATTTTTCATAAATGAAAGTGAACCAGTGAACCAGTAGTGGGATGAGGTGGGGTAGACACACTTCTCCCTATACTTCCCACTAAGTATAGCTAAAAACCCTCAATATTGTCTATAAAACAAATATAAGACTCAAAGTTGGACAGAAGACAGTCCCACTAAGGATGTTGCCACCTGAGGAAAGACACAGTGGTGATTTTCCTAGGTTTTCTTTTTGTCTCCTATATGCTGGCCTGGGTAAGTTGACAACCTAAAATGCCAATGGGTGCAGATTTTTTTTAAAGCCCCCAATAAAGCCTGCTCTTTCCAGCCAGAGACCAAGAAAGGGAAGCCTAACATAACAGACAACTTTTGAGAAAAAAACCCCACTCCACTCCAGTCAAACACTATTGAAAAAAAACTGTGGTCCCACCTCAAGCCCATCAGCAAAGGCTGAGTGGGGAGCCTAGGCTTCCATCCTACCCTGACTGTAATGAGGTGCCCCTCTGTCCCTCCAGGGGTGGTGTCAGAGAGGGGATGGGAAGCTGAGACTTTCATTCACGCTTGGTCGTACTGAACCTCCCCACACACAATGTCAGTGGCACCATTTGGAAGCAGTAATAGCATGGCTCTCCCCTCAAGACAAGGTGTTGTCAGGGGTGATGGCCCAGTGGGGGTGGCCTAGCAAGAAATTCCTCTCCCCAGGGCTGTTAATAGAGACTGAGTCCCTTAGACTTCCATCCCCACCAAACAATAACCAGGTGGTGGTGACCTTCCTTAGCCCACCAGGGTGGTGTCAGAGGAGGCCTGCTGAAACACAACACTTAAGTAAAAATCCAGAATATCATAAAAAAAATACTCAAAGTGTCCCCAAATTTGGCAGAAGACATAAATCTGCAAATTCAAGAGGCTAAGAAAATGCCAAGCAGGATAAACGCACACACAAAAATCCAGTTTAAGACAGATAAGCAGCAGCTGGACCTTCAGCTGCTCTGCCTTCCCCTGGATTTTTCCCTCAGTTTCTCTGATTTCTGGGTTACACGTATGTGTTTAGCTCTGTGATGTAGGCTCCTGGCTTCTGCAGGACACCCTGGTCACAAGGTCAGAGGCAGCAAGAAGAGACACAGGTTTCATTCTGTCCTTATGAAGTTCCAGCTCCTGCTCACAGGCTCCCAGCCTGTTCGTGATCTTCCCTTGTTTACTGCCTATGGGTTTCAAGCATCAGACGTGGAAACAGCTTCGCAGAGACTGTTTACCCAGCCCCCACAATTCCCAGAGCAGGTCTCCTTTGATACAGTAGCCAGGCCTCCCCAGGAGAGGATCCACGGCTTTCTGGCTGATAGCAAATTTCCCATTACCTCTGGAAGGGTCATTGCCCAGATCCTGGGAATCAGGTCTTGATGGGCACAGTGGTGACTAAGACAGTCATGTTATTCCCTCTGTCTGTGAAATACTGAGACATAGAAATCTTTTCTGATACCAGGATCACAGGAAGTAATGAAAGAAAAACCTGAAATGAGAGTTTGATGGCCTGCGTTCTAAGAAATCTCATGTTTTATAGACAATCAAGAATGGATCAACAACAAGGTGCTCCTGTACAGCACAGGGAACTATATTCAATATCCCGTGATAAACCATAATGGAAAAGAATATGAAAAAGAATATATATATATATATGTATAACTGAATCACTTGGCTGTACAGCAGAAATTAATACAACATTGTAAATCAACTAGACTTCAATTTTTAAAAATTAAAAAAAAAAGTGACTTCTAAAGTTCCTATCAATTGTCATAGGTTGGATTCTTCTGCGAAAGTAGTTTCATTGATGGGTGTGGCTAACCAGCTAACTTTCGGCTAAAAGATTATAGATTTAGCAAACTGTAAGTATAATTGTGATTTTCTACACTCAAATGACATTAAATCAAACAGTTGTGGATCTTTAAATATATATATATTTATATATATATTTATTTATATATGTATATATAAACATAAGCTCTATAGTTGCAACACTTAAGCTTGGAGTCCTCTGGTGACCATTTTTCATGAAATGAAAATAAGATTGCAAAGTCTTATTATACTTTATGTTATTTGTCCTTATTACAAAAATGGATTCAAATGCACTAGTGAAGTATTTATAACATACACACCAATAAGCACAGAAATCATAACTCTACGACTCAATGACTTATCAAGAATCAAAGACACCCTTGTAACTACAACACAATTTAAGACAATGAAATAGAATAAAACTACCAACTCAGGGGCCCCTCTCCTTGACCTCCTCAATCACTACCCATTCTATCCTGCTAAAGCTAGCGATCATCTAGTTTTTAACACCACACGTTAGCATCACCTGTGTTATAAATGTGTGTACTTAGATCCAAACTGTACGAATTATCCTGTGTCTGGCTTCTTTTGCTCAGCATTATATTCGTGACATTAATCTGTGTGGTTTCATGGAGAGATTCTTTCCGTTTCGGTGCTCTGTGTGTTCTTTGAATGACAACCTCACGTTTATCAATTTTGCTGTTGATGGACATTTGGTTTGTTTCCAGTTTGGGGTTATTAGCAATAAAGCAACTATGAACATTCTTGATGGTTTCTTTTGGTATATATGCATAGACATTTTAGGTAAGTATAGACCTACAAATAAAATAGCTTGGTCATCGTGATTGCAGATGTTCAAATTTACACATCACTAAAAAGCAATGGTTTGCTAACTTTACAATCTAGTTAAGTGATGGAGAAAGTCTGGGAGATCTTTCTCTGATCTCGCTGTGTGGGGCAGGGGGATTATCACACGCCACCTCCTTTTTCTCATGTGTCTATGCCTTCTTAGGATTCCTCCTAGTTTAGAATATCTGGGAATAGATATGGGCAAATTCTCCACCACCCCCTAATCAGGTAAACCTCAGAAGATTTCCCTCCCCCATTTCCAATTATTTCTCTCACAGGTGATGGAATGGGACTGGAACTGAGCAGTTACACATCCGTGGCTCTAAATGTAAAAGGAGATGGAACTAAGGACTTAGAAATTAATAAAGGAGCTAGAACCCTCCCAAATCTGTCCTTTTCTTTTGGGGGGCATTAAAGATCTTTGATATTGATGCTTATGTGCACATGAAGTCCTCTGAAATAAGATCACTGGAAATAAAAAGCCAAGCTCTTCAACCCTGTTGAGTTGTTCGAAAAGTTCATGTATCTGGAGACTCTAAGGGGTGATACCAGAGACTCAGGCACTGCTGGATCAAAGACCGTTTACCTCTATCTCTGTGCACATTTTATGTATAGTAAACACAATCTAGGGACAGATTATCTGGTTTATGGACAAACACAGTTCAAAAATAACAGGTTACACTGTGAAAAATGTAAAGAACAACAATGCAGGAAAAAACATCTAATTTTTGGAGGGCATTATTTGGAACTACAAGGTAATCCAAAAAAGCCACATTTTATACATTACCACAGGGGAATACCCTTCCCCCTTGTCAATAAAACCTATGGTGAGGGACAGCCCAGGAGGGACCTCAAAAAGAATTAGGTAAGGAAAGGGAGAAAGGGACAAAGAACTTCCAACCTGAGTCCTGTTGTAATAATTTTTAAAAAGTGAGAACTCATTTAATAAAATTAAAAATTTTAAGAGAGTTAAAATAGGTAATTGAACTAATTAATTGCCAACTAATTTGAATAACATTCTTATACTATCGTTTTTATACTTTTGGGTGATGAAGCCAAAAGTAATTCAAAGTTTACCTTAAATCAATTTTTTAGCATATTTGCCCTAGTTTTAACTGTACTTTTCACATGAAGTTCTTCCCTCCCTTGTCTCCCCAGTACGCCTAAGTGAGGGGTGTGCTTGGCCTGAGGACTTCACGCATCATTTGGTAGGAACGACCTTCCTTGGCTCTCTCACCTTCTCGCAGATACATGGGTTGTGATCCCCCAGCTCATGTCTACAGAGGTTGTGAAGCCCAGATGAACAATTAGAAATGCGATCAGTTTCCTGAATGATGTGGAGATATTTTATAGTTTGTTTTTCTTTGCCTCTTAACACATGCTTAAGTGAGAAATTAAAAGCAATTTATAGAAGTTTCTGACAACAAATATATAAATGACATCTTTATTGACAGTGGGCCAATAAGAACAAACAAATTTTGTTTACATGTAACCAAAAACATTTGAAAAGCAGAACACTAAAACTTCCAAGATTCCTGTGAGAGCACAAATACACAGTCAGAACTGATTGAACTCCAAGCATAAAAGGAACAAATACTGAAACGCCAAGGGCCAGAGCTCTCAGTAAAACTAGCTTAGAGTGAGTCCTTTGACACTAATTAAACGACAATAATACTTGAGTCTCTGGAACCATGGTGTGGCTCCTGGTTAAGTGATAATTAGAAGGAAAAAAGGCAGATTCCACGAGGTCTCCGGGAGGCTGTGCAGGGAGCCGCACCAGATGGAAGCAAGAGTAGAAAGAAGTGAAGCCCTTCTCTACGATACGCCAGGCAGCAGGATGGTCGGCTCTAGATCAGTAAGTAAAGGTGTGGAAGACTCACTCATTCTTAAGTCATTTCTAATTGATGGTTAGTCACTTGCTATAGACAGAATGTTTTGTGTCCCCCCCACCCCCGCCAAATTCCTGTGGAACCCCAATCCCCGAAGTGGTGGTATTTGGAGGCAGGACCTTTGGGAAGTGACGAGGTCATAAGGGTAGAGCCCCCATGAATGGGACTAGCTCCCTCATGAAAGAGGCCCCAGAGGGCTCCCCTGCCCTTCCACCATGGTAGGACACAGTGAAAAGATAGCCATCTGAGAACTGGGGAGGGGGCCTCACCAGACACTGAATCTGCCAGGGCCTTGATCCTGGACTTCCCAGTCTCTGGAACTGTGAGAAGGTTGTTTATAAATAAGCCACTTAGTCAATGATATTTTGTTACAGGTAGCCTAAAACAGACTCACCGCTTCATTAAAATATATGTAACAGTGGATCCTCCAACAGCATGGGTTTGAACTGCTCAGGTCCACTTTTGGGGATTTCTTCAATAAATACTGTCACCCTCCGTATTCGAGGGTTTTGCATCAGCAGATTCAACCAACAGTGGATCCAAATTTCCATCCATGGTTGGTTGAATCTGAGGATGCAAAAGCCACAGATACGGAGGGCCGAGTGTACTACACCATTTAATATAAGGGGCTTGAATCTATGGATTTTAGCGTATGTGAGGGCTCCTGGAAACTAACGACAGAGAGAAAGCGAATGAGAGAGGCGGAGGAGGTCTCTCAATACAACTATGTGCCAGGTTCTTTACATTCATTATCTTATCCTCACAACAGCCTTGAGAGAGGGTTGATCTGTCCCCATTTTACAGATAAGCAAACCGGGGCTCAGAAACAGTAAGTAGCTTTCCAAAGTCACATAATTGCCAAGTGGAGGTGGCAGAATTCAAACCCATTGATTTTGGGTTAGTCAAATATTGGCCCCCAGATGAATTTCTTCTCACTCAAGCATTTGGCCTGTTGAGAAACAGCAAATATTTTCCGGGACATGTAATCTCTGCTCGAACTATTCAACCCTGCTGTTTTAGCACAAAAACAGCCAAACACATGTAAATGATGAGTGAAGCCCAGTTCCAATTAAACATTATTTACAGAACTAGGTAGTGGGTCCAGGCCATAGCTTGTCAACTTCCACCTCAGACCGTTAATCTGAATATCGAGGTGATGAGTGGGCTGAGCTCTATTTTGTTTATTTTGTCCTGTGTCAGCCATTCTGACACTCACCTCTCAGACCTTGGCCCCTTTCAATGTATTCTTGTTTTTTAAAAATTCTTTTCAAAGCCTCTTTCTTCCCAGTCCTTCCCGTCCCATTTCCTATTGTTTTGATTTCCATCGTTGCTGGATTAGACTTGACCTTGACCTCTTTTACCACCACTTCTTTAAACTCTATTCCTCTTCTTTCCCTCAGTAATAGAACTAAGGTCTATAGAGGAAACTATAAGAATTATAAGAAGTAACAGGGATAATGTGTAGGGGGAAGAGTGCAGGCTGATTGCTGAATGTCCAAGGATAGGATTTAGGAAAGAAGAAACCTGTAACTAATCTTTCCCTCTCTATCTTTTCTATCTTTTCACACCGTATAATAAAGCAACAATAAAAACTGACATTTGTATAGTGTTTTGCTAAATATTTATTTGAACTTTTGCTTTTGTTTCCAATCCCATCACACGGTTCTTTGGTCACCCATGTAACTTATGTCAATTGATCACTGTGGCTTCAAGCCTTTTCTACCTTCCTTGGGGCCCTGGGATACAGCAAAGACCAACCGACATACAGGAGGACAACAAAAAAATGTGGGTAAACGTGAGGCCTGAGAAACGACAACTTCTTCCCAGGGTGCGGGGTAGAGGGAGAAGCCGCTTGTCTTCCTGAAGTCACTGTCCTGTGACTCTCTTCCGTATGTGACACGGTGTTTGTGCCTCAAAGCTGCTTCAGTTCTTCTTCTTGTCCGAGACCCTGTATGTAACCACACATGGAACCCATCAACTTTTCACTCTGCACATCCCAGGGGCTTTCTCTCCAAGTGACAAAACATACTTTACAGAGAGCAGAATAAGGTAAAGAAATGAAATCTCCCTAATACTGTGATTACAGAAAACCAAGGATTCATTCAGTGCCAAGGATAAGAAAAGAGGGACTTGATCAAAAACTACAGTTAAGGTTCTGACTCTTTCTCTACCTCAGGGTAACTTCCAAGGAAGTGTAAAGTGAAGATGTACCCAGCAGGGGGATAATAATCATCTAAATCTCAGCATAACCCATGTGAGCATAATTTAGACCTCTTATATTCATCAAATGAGATAGTAGCCTTTGGGGTTGGGAGGGAATCCAAAGCACATTTCAGATCTTAACCTTTAAGTTTTTATAGTTAATGTAAAAGAAATGACATTCTCTGTATATCTGGGTCTCCACTTTGGATTCAAAGAGGAACAGCTCTGTGTCTTCCCAATGATAAGAATATGAGCCCTCTGCCTCACCTACCAGATAAGAATGTCCTTACAAAGTGAGATGCTATAACAGGCTTTGATGTGACGAAGAGGGGGGAACTGGATTTCACACTGATTGCATTGCTACCCACTCCCAAGGATTTTCTGAATTTCCACAAAAGGGTATTGGGGGGGAAGGGGGGTGGGTTAGGGATCAACCTATGAGATTCCTGGCTGGAAGCATTCAGAATGATCAAATCAATGGATATAAGGAACATTCTATTTATGCCTCAAAGCTATGTATTATCTAAGTAGAGTTAGATACACACAGGACTGGTCCTCAGGCAGCAGTTTGTGTCTTCCACACAAACTGCTCAGGTATTTAACACAGCGATAAAACCAACTCACATTTCTTCACATTCAGTCATTTTTCAGGGCTGCTCTTCCGTGTGAATCCTTTGATGTCTGATGAGGGATGAACTGCACTTAAAGCTTTTTCCACATTCGTTACACCTATATGGTTTCTCCCCAGTATGAGTTCTCTGGTGTTGAATAAGGGCTGATGAATGAATGAAGGCTTTTCCGCATTCGTTACATTTGTATGGTTTCTTCCCAATATGAATTCTTTGATGTTTAGCGAAATTTGAGCTCCGGCTGAAGGTTTTCCCACATTCGTTACACTCGTAGGGTTTCTCTCCAGTGTGAATTCTCTGATGCTGAACAAGATGTGTGCTCTGACTGAAGGTTTTTCCACATTCACTACATTCATAGGGTTTTTCTCCGGTATGAACCCTCTGATGTTTGGTAAGGGATGAGCAGTGGCTAAAGGCTTTCCCACATTCCTGACATTTATAGGGTTTCTCTCCAGTGTGAGTTCTTTGATGTTTAATGAGTGCTGAAGAATGAATGAAGGCTTTATCACACTCGTTGCATTCATAAGGCTTCACCCCTGTGTGGATCAGCTGGTGCTGCACGAGGTGTGTGCTTCGATTAAAGCCTTTCCCACACTCACTGCACTCATATGGTCTCTCTCCAATGTGAATCCTCTGATGTATTGCAAGGGATGCGCTTTCTGTGAAGGCCTTCTTGCATTCGCTGCACTCGAAGAGAATTCTAGTGTGAGTTCTCTGATGTTTAGTTAAATTGGCCCTGTGGCTGAAAGACTTCCCACACTCGGTGCAGCTGTAGGGTTTTTCCCCAGTATGGACTCTCTGGTGTCGAATGAGCACTGAATGGTAAGTGAAGAGCTCACCACAGTCATTGCATTTATGAGGTTTCTTCTCTTTGTAGGTCCTCTGCTTTTTCATTAAGGTTGATTTCTGTTTCAATCTTTTTTCAAGGGTATGGAAGGCACAGGATCCTTTGGGAACTCTGTCTTGAGTGAGAAGTACTGACTTCTGGTTCAAGTTTTTCCAGCAAACATCATGCTCACGAGCTCTCTCTTCTGGGAGTGAATTCACGTGGGTGAACATTTCTCTTAAGCATCTCTCCTGATTTCCTTGTTGATTCTCTAACCGGTTTTCACATGTGAGAGTTGTTTCCAAGTTGGAGTGACAGACACCATTCCTTGTCAGCCTGTCTATGACTGCAACCTGGCATGATTCTTCTTTGGAAAAATCTTGCACTGAAGTTGAATCTTTGCTCCCGGGTCTAGTCTCTGAGTCTGAAACAAATTGGAAATGCAAATTTCCTTTGTTTTCTGAGTTCAACAAACAGGCAGGTCTGTAACGGGTAAGAGTTAATGAAGGTGAAGAGCATGGCTTCAATGAATAAGTGGATCTGACTCTTAGAAGATGACTTGCAAAGAGAAGCAAATGGAGGGAAACAAATGCACAGTAGATGCAGAGAAAACCAGCAGACCCTATCCAGGAATCAGAATTGGGGAAAGATAACCAGAAAGACAGGAGGAGGGATGCAGATGAAGCACCATTTCACCGGATGAGCAGGAAATGAGCATCCCAGATCATGACAGGGGAGGAACAACCTCTATAAAATATCAAGTGCTGTCATAAACTTCCAGGTAGTTACCACCTTAGTGCAGGGCACAGTGATGACTTCTAAATTTTTAGTTACCCAACCCCACTCACATCCTAATATGCATTCCATTTCCAGTTTAAAATCTTCCCTAAGAATTCTTTTATAATATGTCCCTGTTGAAAAATCAGTGATCTCCCGAAGATATAATGGCAGATACATTAAATTATATCTGAACAAGGCTAATCATTACAACACTAATTGAGGTAGCAAAAGACTGGTAACATCTCAAATGTTAAAGTACAGTAATATTTTAATAGCATAAAGAACTGATTAAACTATGGTGTACACATACAATGAAGTATGTGCAACTTAAAATAATATGAGAATGATCTCTACATATTGCTACGAAGTGATCTTCAGGATACATTAAACTTAAAAAATCCAGCAAGCTGTGAAGGAGTGTGTATAGTCTGCTACTTTTTTGGGTTGGGGAAAAAAGGGGAGATACAAATATACAGACATATTTGGTTATATTTTCCAAAACTAAGAACAGATAAATGAAATACTAATAAAAATGATTGCCTACAGAGAGAACACCAGAATAGAGAGGGCAAGGATGGAAGCCAACCTCTCTGAATATATCTATTATAAATCTATTAGAATTTTTATATTCAATATGAAGCTACTCTATAAAGCTAAAATAAAGAGTTTGGTTCAAAAGAATAAGTAAATAGACCAATGAAACAAAAGGGCAATTTCAGAAGTCAAGTAAATATCGGATTAAGGACAATACAAAGGTAGTATTTCAGTCAGTGAACTAAAGATAATTTGTTTTTACAACAAATGGTCCTGTGATTAAACATTCAAAAGACAGTTAAGTTAGATCTGCCCCTCATTCCACACAGTCAAGTGAATTCTATTCCTTTATCTATGTACTCTTCTATCCATTTATTCAACGATTACCTATTGGATGTCTACCATATGCTAGGCTCTGGGGAAAAACACACAGTCCCTATGTATATGGAGAGAAAATTTAGTCTAACATCTACAAATACATATAAAAATGCACCTGTAGTAAGTACTAAGAAATAAAAGGCAAATGATGCTGTGAAAGATGATAAGGGGAACCCAGGGGGATGAGGAGAGGCCTCCCTGAGGTGGTAAATGACTGAGCTGAAATTGAATTTGGTTTGGGGCTCAGGTGAGTGTTCCAGGTAACAGGTACAGCAGCACGGGGGTGAGTGTTTCAGGTAACAGGTACAGAAGCACGGGGGTGAGTGTTCCAGGTAACAGGTAGAGAAGAATGGGGGTGAGTGTTCCAGGTAGAGGGAATGACATGTGCAGAAGCCCCAAGGTGAGAGGGGACATTTAGGGAGAGTACAGTGGTTGAGAGCAATGGACTCTGAAATCAGAATGCATGAATTTAATCCCAGCTCTGCCACTTACTAGCTGTGTGACCTGGGGCACATTTTTTTACATTTCTACTTCAGTTTTCTTATCTGTAAGATGGGGCAATAACGGTACCTACCTCATGAGGAATAAAAACAACACCTACCTTAAGGAGCACTTAATGAAAATATTTATAAAACACTTTAAACTCTGACACAGCATCGGTGCTACGTGTTTGTTAAATCAGTAAAACATAAATTGATACAAGGATAGTGTAGGTAGGTAGAGGCTGTGACCTCAAAGTGCAGCCTGAGGACCCCTGGGAGTCTGTAGGTTCAAAACTATTTTCAGAATAATGCTTAGATCTTATTTGCCTTTTTCACTGTCTTGACATTTGCATTGATGTTGTAAAAGTGATGGTGGTAAAACTGCCCACGACTTATGCACAAATCAGGACAAGACACCAAATGTACTAGTAGTAGTTGTATTTTTCCCCACCATGTACTCTCAGTTAAAAAAAAAAAAAAGCCAGTTTCACTTAAAAATTTCTGAGGAAACAACAGGAATCATTATTAACTTAATAAATTAATTTTATTTATTAAACCTTGACTACATGCCTTCTTAATATTCTGGATGATGAAATAGGAAATATTCATAATGCAAGTCTGCTCATATCAAAGTATGATGCTTGCCTTGAGGAAAACCACTCATGAGACTGTTTGAGAGCTGAACTGGCCATTTTTGTTTTTCATGGACCATCACTTTTACTTGAAAGAATCACTGACAAACTATGTTATCCATGTTGGGTATTTGGCAGATATTTCCTCAAAACTGAAAACAAAAAACAAGCCTGTCACTTCAAGGAAAAGAACTGACAGTATTTGATAAAATTGAGCTTTTGGGCAGAAATTAGAATTTTGGAAAACTTTTATCTACCACTGAGAGCTTGATAGCTTCCTAATACTTAAAGGCTTTTCTGGTAAGGTCAGTGGTGATACTGAAAATTGTGGTTTTTAAAATATTGCATAATGTATTGTGTCAATATTTGGAAGACAAGCATAACTCAGTGAACCAATATTTCTCAAAAGATCAATAGATTTTTAAGAGTAGAAAAAATTCATGATATGGTTTCAGAGGCACCTTGCACCTAACCTTTAAGAAACTACAACTTGCCCGACTTTGGTGTAGTATCAGAATAGCCAATTATCTGGAAAGCATATTAATTATATTTTGTTTGTGTTTTTTTAATTTTTTTTATTAGTAAGGTTGTTTCTTGATGTGGATACTAGCTACATGAATGTGTTCAATTTGGGAAAATTCATAAAACTGTACAGTTATGACATTTTAATCTATTTTACATTACAAAGAAAAGGAAAAGAAAAAAGGCAAATGAAGCAAATGTGAGCATGTGTTTGATCTCAGTGTTATTTTATTTCCTTGACTTTGTATGATTTCAAAATGCAATATAATTTAAAATAAGATATTTAAAAAATAAAAGCATGTTGGCACTTCTATATTCTTTCTTAAGCACTGAAGAGCGCCACTTCTTTACTGTCTTGTGGGGTTATTCTTTCCGAAGATTCCCGTCTATCTGACTCACCTGAACAGCTGCTTTTGGGGGCTTTTCTCTCAAGCATCAATGGTTCTTTTCCATTCTCCAAATTGTGGTTCTCAGGTTTGGAAACTGGAAGCCCTGCTCATTAAAAAAGAAAAAAAAAAAGAAAGAAAGAAAAAAAAGAAAAGGGACTTAACTCTTTGTGATGGGCACAAAGCTCTATTCCAGAGCACAGTCCCAACCCCGGGATCCACAAAAAAGACAGGACATCATAGGAAGTTTTGGAATAAGGGAGCGGGGGGGCCACTAAATGAACCTTAAAACAGGTGCAGCAAGAGCCTGGGCCTCATAAGGAGTTACATGCATTTGAAAAGACAAATATTTAGCCTATAAAAAAATAGAAGAGAATTTGTCTTGTTTACTGTGGGAGTTCTGGGGAGATACTGCAGACCTCAGCTCAGGGAAGGAGTTGGGTGAAGTGGGACCCCAGTGGCAGCACCACAAGCCCGTGACTCTGTGACTAGCTGTCTTCTGATGTTTTTCCTTTCTTCCTTCTTCAGTTACTAGAACCTGCTTTCTTAGGGAATTTATTATATGAGGTTTGGGAGGAGCTAACTTAGTTCCTTCCACCACTGATATGAACACATACATGTACATGCATGTCTGTACATGTGTACACATGCAAATACCCCCCCCCCCCC